CCCACGCCGCCACCCCACCCCGCCATCCGGTGAACCTGTTGTCGCCTCTTTTCCTGCAGCAGGAGAATGTCCCTGTGCCCCGTCTGGGGAGCTGCCCTCCTCCCCCTCACAGCCTGCTTGCCTGGCGGTGGGGAGTGCACCTGTGGCGGGAGCCTCCTTACCTCTCCCCCTGCCCCGCACCCTCACAGGGAAACCCAGTGTCTGGTGGGTGGAGTTTGAGAGCAGGCTTTGAAAAGTTAAAAGCAGAAGAGAATGCGAGTCAGGAACATTTTTGTAAGCCCCGTACGCACACTGCCCTCCTCCCTCCCAGAAGCCGCCGTCCCGCTCCCTGCTGTGGTCTCATGAGGTGGGGGGCCGCTCGGGGTGCTGGCTGAGGACGCTCCTCAGCTCCGTTCCTCCACATCGCCCCCAGGGAGGAGAAGACGGAGCAGCTTGTGGACACCAGGCATGAGGTGGACCAGCTGGTGCTAGAGCTTCAGAAGGCCAAGCAAGAGGTGAGCGGGAGGGCCTGTGCGTGTGTCCTGGAGGAGGTGGTGGTGGCTGAGACTCCACAGTGACTGTGGCCCAGAGGCTCAGGAAAACAGCATCAGGAGCTTCCGGCAAAGGCCTCTGTTTCTGTCTGCTCAGAGTGATGCTGCCTGACAGCCAGCTGTCCTGAGAACTGCTGTGGGGGGACGACCCTGTGTCTTCGTGACAGCCTGTGGGGGGACCCCACGCAGGGGCCTGCACACTGACCTGCCGGGCCCCCCGGACCCGGCTTCTCCTGGGATGTCCCGGAAAGGCTGCACTGCAGGGACTTGGGCCCCTCTCCCCTCCCCGGAGGGGGGGCCCTAAGCTGGCTTCCCCTGCCTTTTCCCACCCCCCAGAACATCCAGCTGGCGGCTGACGCCCGGTCTGCCCGTGCCTATCGCGACGAGCTGGACTCCCTGAGGGAGAAGGCGAACCGCGTGGAGAGGCTGGAGATGGAGCTCGTGCGCTGCAGGGAGAAGCTGCACGACGTGGACTTCTACAAGGCGCGCATGGAGGTGAGCCCACCTTCCAGAACACGTCCGCGCCGGCCGGGAAAGGGAGCTGTGAGATCTCCACGGCGAGGCTTTCCCTGCACCTCAGCCTGTCTGTGGGCCCAGGAGGCTCCCTCCCTCAGCTCCTTACCCACCTAGAGGTGTCACATGGGTGAGGGAGGGGAGGGAACGTGGTTCTGTAATGAAGAGCTCAGACTCCTTTTAGGATTTTTCCTTTTCCTGCTTCCTGCCACAGTGATGACCTTCAATTCGTGGATTTTTATTTATTTTTTCCTACTTCTTGCAGTTTCTGTGGCTAACTCTTACAGGGAATTAGTTTCTTCGTCCATAAAATAGAAATAATCATACCACTTCATGAGTTTTTCCAGATGAAGGACAAAAAATACCTGTCACTCGGGCAAGTCCCATAGGAAGTCCTCAGTCGTGGAGCCCGCTCTGATCCCGAGGTTCTGGGAGGATGCAGGGGAGGGCGTCAGGGCTAACGGGGGACTGGAAACCGAGACCCAAGTGGGGTTACCGGTGCTTCAGCTGCTCACCCTGACTGCCTCATGTCAGCCACGGGTTCCAGGACCCACTTTCCCAAGGATTTGGGGACTTTGCCCCTATCAACAATCCCAAGGTGGGGTCTGGAGGTAGTTTTAATGAGATGGTGAAATCAGGATGTCAGCCTGTACCAACCGGGCTTGTTTGGTAAGAAAGATTTCCAGTTGCCATTCAGGAGGCTTTTGAGGGGAACAGACATGGGTCTGGGGGGCATGGTATCCTTCTCCCAGCCATGCTGCTGGCAGGCCAGCTTGGGGAAGGCTGTTTGGCTGAACACCCGGACGCGCTCTGCTGCTACAGGCAGGCCCTGCCCACGGGCCACGGGAGGTGGTGGGGAAGGCTGTGGTGCCGGGCCCATTTGTTACCCAAGAAGTGTCTGTTCCCCGAGGAATGTGACGCCCTACCTCCTGCAGAGAAGGCACCTTTGGTACTGTGGCTTTGGGGTGCAAGAGGTGGGGGATGGGAGACCACCTCTGGCTTTGTCCTGGAAATGGTCCACTGGCCCCGCTGAATTTGAAAGGCATAAATCCCCAGCACAGACAGGTTCTGGGACACGGGCATATACCGAGGCCTTTTATCGCTTACTAGAAATGCCACAGTTGAGAGAATCAGGGGGGGTCCCGCACATTTCCCCAGAGTGCTGCCCCAGCAGCCCCTTCTAAACAGTGCAGGCCTTCCGCAGCCCCCAGATGGGATCACAGGCAGAGTGTGGCTCCCACATCTCACCCCAGTTCTGTCCCATGGAGCAGGTGGGCATCGGGATCCAGTCTCTGTCTCTGTGTGCACCCCTGGCCCTGTCCAGGCAGCCTCACACGGTCATCCAGACACGGTGACTTAGCGCCTGTGTGGTACCAAGGCCTGCACCAGCAGCTAGGGATCTAAACCCCAGATGATGCGTGCCCTGCATTCACAGAGCTTCCCGACTTTTAGGGTTTCTCCCAGGACCCCCCTTTTCTCAGACTTCTCAAATTTTCAAATTTCATGCCTCTGTGTAGTAACAGCAACATTTTTCATATTGATTAATTGCATAGTGAAAAGTTACTGGGAGCTTGGTAATGCCTTGAATTTTACTTTAGTTTTTATTCACCACAAGAGAAATGGTATGTGTCTGCTTGAGGTGTTTACTTTGGGTCAGGCAGGGACACGCATGGGTTTGCAGACCCTTTGCCGCCCAGGCTGGCTGATGAATTGGGCGTGGTCCATGGAGTCCAGGCCACTATTGAGAGGATGAGTCTTGCTGTGCTGGGATGCCCCTGATGACAGGGTTCAGTGGACAGGAGCACTTGGGCACTCATCCTTAGATCTCAAGTAGTCACATCAGCCTTTCTCGCTGTCTGGAGGGGGCCAAAGACTCCAGCCATGGAAGGTGCATGGCATCTTCAGAAGTGTTTTAGTGAGGGGCATGGCATGGTTTGGATTTCAGAAAGCACATTTTGGGTTGCCAGGTGGGGAACGGACCAGAAGGGGCAACAGGATGCCATGGGCTGTGGAAGTCTGCCAGCCAGATGGGCCCACCTGGGACCCATACACCCTCTTATCAGCCAGGATGGGCCCATCTCCAGCCTGGTGAGCTTCCTCCCTCTCCTGGCCACAAGGCTGCAAGCTGCTGAGTGTTACTTGAGCAACATCTGTGTGTTCTCATTCATTTCTCAAAGCAGCCCTGAGGACGAGCTAAGCTTGGGGAGGTTGGATGGGCTGCCCAGGGTCCATTCTGCTGCAGCTTCCGTGACTCCCAGTGGCATGGGCCCCAGAACGGGGACTCTGCTTTGTTCGTGGGTATGTGCTCAGCATCTGGACCAGTGTCTGGCCCATGGGTGGTGGTGGATGAGCATTTGCTGAAACAATTGTATCCGGAGTTTTTTTCTTGTTTTTTTCTTTTTTCTTTCTTTTTTTCTTTTTTTTTTAGTATTTATTTAATTTTGGGAGCGTGCAAGCAGGGAAGGGGCATAGTGATGGGGACATAGGATCTGAAGCGGGTTCTGTACTGATAGCAGTGAGCCCGATCTGGCCCTCGAACTCCCTAACCTCGAGATCATGACCTGAGCCGCAGCTGGACACTCAACCGGATGAGCCTCCCAGGTGCCCCGTATCTGGGGTTTTCTTTGATCAGCATTTATAGAGCTTGTTGCTGCTGGGCCGCAGTAGAGCCCCTGCCTTCTCCCACCCCTGTGCAGGCTTCCCCTGGCCTGCTGCCTCCCAGGGCACACTGGGGTATGTTGGAAGTTAACCTAGAATGCTGCTTAGAGACCTCAGGACAGGTTGCTTTGGGATGCGAGCCAGTAGTACTTGGGGCCTGCAGGGATTGAGGTGGGCTGCCTGTCCCCAGACTTAGGGTCCCGGGCCTGGGCCGCTCAGTCCTTCTGGTGCTTCGTGTCAAGGAGAAGCACTACCTTGATGCACGGGTGTGGTTTTTGGGCCCATGTTTGTGTTTCAGAAAACAGTGATGCCCAGCTTTGTACGTAAAACCAGATTTTCCAGGGTGTAGTGATGCACACCTCCAAGGGATTCACCCCAAGATTCTTGAATAATTTCTAAGTAATTAGAAGTACGCAGTACCATGCAGAGATGTGTCTGTGAATGGAGATTGACCTGCATGTGATAAAACCTTAGATTGGGAAAGACCCGATTACGATGTTTACACATCCAAAAACTTAACAGAGAGATGGGGGGATATGTGACAAAGCAAATATAGCAAAACACTAATTACAGAATCCTGGTGATATGTGTATGGTGTTCAGAATATTTATTTCAACGTTCTAGTAGGCTTTAAAATTTCCATAATAAAATATAGGGGGGCGGTGGAAGGTAAAAAGATAGCAGTGGATGTTAACCCTTTTGAATAAGCTCATACGTGATTAACATCAACTTAATAATAGTTTAAAATACTGAACAGCCCCATGTGTTAGATCGCCATTTCTCAAGAGGTGGTCTGTATCCACCTGTATCTGAGTCCAGCATGCCTGTTCAAAATGCAGATTCCTGGGCCCCAGAAATGTGTGTTCTGAATGCTCTCTCCCAGATGGCTTTTCAGCATTGCCAAGCGTGAGGACCACAGTCGTATGAACAGGGTACTTTCCTCCGACTGCTGGCTTTTCTCTGCAAGAGGTGGGGTTGGCAAGGCTGACGGCTAGTCTGTGGGTGGACCTTGGCCTGAGGCTGCTTGTATGGAACTCGAGCCCCTGAGCGCAGGGACTAGGTCTTAATATGACGGCGTGGCCAGGGCCTGGCACACACAAGGCACTTGGTAATCACCCCACAAGTCAGGGAAAACCCCATCACTCAGCAATAAAAAGACTTGATCTGGAGGAAAGGACGGGAAGAACCTAGAGCTTTTTTCTCTTGGAGAATGGGGTAGTGGTAGGTGTGATGGTCAGGAGGGCAGAGAGAGGAACAGGATTGACATGTTCGTGCCAGCTCACATTGTGGACACCTACCCTGTGGGGGACGCTCTTCCAGACACGGAGAGTGGCAGGCGGCCCAGGTGCCCTCCCCGAGAGCCTGTCGAGTCTCCCCGCTGAGAGACACATTAACGCCTATCATGGGAGGCAGCGTGTGCTCGTGCCTCATGGGAGGAAAAGATAAAAGGCCTTGGGGTTCAGGACAAGGGCAAAGTTAATTTTGGTTAGAAAAATATGGACCACAAATTTCCATGTTTTACCGTGAAGCTTCTGGCAGCTTTTCCCTGCCTCCCGGTGTAGTTTACGTGAGGGTTCACACTACAGGACGAGAGTGGTGTGGCCATCCCTGGGAACGGCGGGAAGCATGGGGTCGGTGCACCGGGTGGTCCTTGGCTTCTTTGCAAGCACTTGTCCCTCCTCGCTGCTGTCAGTGAGCCTTGTGGGAGGAGGACAGAGGCAGAGAGGCTGCCCGGACGTTCCTCTTGTCCTGTGATTTGGTTTTGGCTGAAATTTCCAACAGCAGAGGACAGGTGCTTCAGTGCCATGTGCATCTGTGTGGGGTGGAGGTAAGACAGGCCTTGTCCTTGCTCCTATGTGGGATTTATGGCTTCCTAGGCAGTGCTGGCCCCAAAGTAAACAGTCTGAGAGGCAGAGACCTAGCAGGGCACAGTCCTAGCTGCCACCCCCCTTGCCGGGTGTTCTGTAAAAGGGCATTGTGCACTATAGGAGCTGGTTTCCGGTGAGCTGATCCTAGCAAGCCCTGGGAGCTGACCGTACAGTGGGGGGGGGGGGGGGGGGGGGGGGGGGGGGGGGCTGTTGGCAAGGCAATTAGGAGCTGGGTTCATGATCAGTCCACCCAGCCCCAGATGCTCCCCATCCTCCAGAGCCCATTTTCCCACCTGCCGGCACATCCCTGCCGCTGTCCAGGGCAGGTGGAAGGGGGAGTGAGGGTCTCTGCCCTCCCGGCCTTGTCTGTCGTTGCTCATGTGACCCCACAGCCTACACACAGGATGTCTTCCACGGGTATCCAAACTGGCCATTCTGCCTCTGTCTGTCCTTGTCCACATCCCTCTGCGTCCCCCAGCCTTCTGCTTCGTACTTCACCTCCTGCAGGCCCCAGGCAGTGCTTCATGTGACCCCAGGCAGTGCTCCTCACATGGTGCTGTGATGTGTGTTTTCCTGTTTCCTGCCCGCACTGGGAGTTCCTTGAAGCCCAGGTCCGTGCCTGACTGACTTCGAGCATGTTCTGTAGCTTGGCGATGGCCAAACTACAGCCCATCTAGGGGTTAGACCTGGCCCCCCCCATCCACCTTGTAAGTATAAAGTTTTACTGGAGCACAACGGCATCCGTCCGTTCGTACATTTTTCTGTGGCTGCGTTTGGTTCACCTGCAGGGTTGGATGGTTATGACAAATTTATGACCTGAAAAGCTGAAAATACTTAACTGCCTGGCCCAGAGTAGGTGCACAGTAAGGTGTTAAAGAGCAGTTATAACTGTATTTATGAAGCTTTTTCCACATGCTAGGAATGGTTAAGCTCCAACTACATCACCACGTGTAAGCCTCATGGTGGCCCACAGGGTTCAGCAGCCACTGCTAAACATGTTTTCATGGGAGAAAACTGAGGGTTGATTTACAGTGTCTGCATTTTGCCGTCAGTACCGAGGTTGCATTGAAATGTGTCTGCCTGCC